CTGAATAACCGCATGCTTAAAACTAACCGGAACAACACCAGATGACAAGCTAATATTCATAATAGGCAGAATACTTGGGCCAATTGAATCAAGTACCTTCTTAAACAGAGAAGAAGGGAGCACATCACCAGGAGACCTGCTGGGCCTCATATGAGCAGTTATATCATTAAGCTGCTGCAAAGAAACAGGCATAAAACTAGTTAATTTGTTCGTAGGGTCAACAGAAGGAATAAAATCCATGCCAACAGATGAAATCTGTTCACACATGTCAGCAGAAGGAGTGAATGAAAGAGTAGCAGTAGGATGAAGAACAGCATTTACAGTAGAGAAAAGTACTCTAGAATTATTATAATTTCTGGAAATAATGACATAGAAATAATTTGATCTAGCCAATTTAACAGCTCTTTGATACTTGTTCAAACGGTTCTTCAAAATCTCATAAGAGACTTGTAATTTATCTTTAACCCATTCGCGTTCAGCCCTCCTACACTCCTGTCTAAGAGCACGGGTAGTACTGTTCAACCAGGGCTGTGATTTGACTTTTTTCCCCCTGACTGTGACAGGAGCCACAACATCTAAAATCTCTAAACAAGAAGAGTTAAACTGATCGACCAACTCTTCTAAACCCATACAGGGAGAGTGCGACTCGGTCAATGAAAAGGTATTAAAAGCAGCTGAAAAACTACTAGCTGTACATGGATTGAGAATGTGAGATGAAACCGAGGCAGAAACAATATTACCCAGCGCACCACAAGGAAAGTTAGAATTTAAAATAATAGTCTTATGATCAGAAAAAACAGTATCAACAATCTTCATGCTATCAACAGAGAATCCCAGAGATAATACAAGGTCAAGCGTATGACCACGTTCATGAGTTGGACCCAAAACGCATTGTAAAAAATCAAATGATTCTAATAAATTTAAAAATTCTTTGACCAGGGGCTATTGTCAAAAGAAGGGACAATACCAGGATGTTTTACTCTTTATAAGTAGGGGAGCTGTTTCTCTGTTGCATTAAACTTTGCGGTATTATGTGGCTGACACAGCAGGATAGTCAGCGGACACTTTTTGTTTAATTCTCTGCATATCACACAAATCTAATATACACACACACCAACCTCAGACACATTTAATGGGGAAAGTTCTCATCAGAGGGGGGTGATTATGGGGCATACTCACAGTTTTTCCTAGACTTTTAAAAGCCCCCAACAAAGGACAAACTCATTGTTCCCATATAAGATAAATTGTCTACCAACACCCAGCTGCTGATGACTCAGTTAGCCTACTGGGACTCACATACATACATACATACACAGGCAAACCAGACAGACACCTGGAAGTTAAATATAGGATAACGTTTTCCCATTCCCACATGTTTTGAGTGGAGGCGCTGCGTTGAGTCACACTTAAAGGATGAGGGGTGACTAGACAACGGCCTACGGTTGTGTCCCTCCTACCAAATGCCCGCATTAAATCCCAGGAACCCTCGTTCTTCTGTGGTCCCAGAATGCACAAAGTTTCCAGAGGGCTCCGAAATAATAAATCAACAACACAGAGAGAGAAAGTGGGAAAGATAGAAGCAGAACAAGGCCATAACATAACACACTTTAAACAAAAATGCTGACAGGCTTAGTATAATATAGAGCAATAAGTGGAGGGGGTTGTGTAAGAGAGGGCAGAATGTACCGGCTTCGACACTATACTGTAAAGACTTCTATATTTTTAAAATTAATTTACAGCATCAACAGTTGAAATAAAGGGGCATAATGAAAACTGGTGTTGTTATAGTGCTTTTTGAGAAACATGACAAAAACATCATCTAAATCACTGAAAATAGAAAACAAAAGTGTAAACTGTGTGGGTGAGATAAAAAAAACCCCGATGGACTCATAAAACATCTCAAGCCAAGGGGGGGGGGGGGGGGGGGACAGACGATGACAACAGCAAACCGAGGTGACTGCTGAAAAACAATAAAATGTATAAAAATAAATAACAAACAAATAGAGGCCGGGTAGATAATCAAAATGAAATCAAAGTGAAAAGGGGTGTTCGGTAGTGAGGTAAGCCGTAAGCAAGTCGCAAGTCACTAGCGTTTCAATGCAAGTCCAGGATTTGGTCTGCTATCAAATCAACTTACTCGTGATTCAAATCCCTGTATCTGAGAACAACACTGCTCTGTTTTGCACTGTTGCTGTCTCATATAGGGCATTTACCCTACTAAATGCACGAATGCATGAATTTTAAAGAAATGCCAACTGTTATATACACACATTATGCATTGTACCGTTGTGTGTGATTAAATGAGGTTGCATCTGAAATCTCTTGTGGCTGGACGATCTCCAGAGCCTCGCTCCCATTTTCTCAATGCAAAGGTGTTGCTCTTTGTCCTTGTTCACCTCTCTCCAGCTTCTTTATGCAGGCACGGCTCTTTTGTTACTATGGATCTTTCCAGTGATAACTCAACCCATTGAAATTGAAAGGATATGGCCTTTCTCATCTCCAGAGTAAGAGGACACCTTTTGTGCATCTCTGTATGTGAATACATGTATGTTATAAAGAGAATGTTTGAGCACAGAGTAATGGGTTTTCTTCCTGCCTGACTGAGTATCCTTATATGCAAGTGACTGTGTGTTTTTGTGTTATTCAGAGCATGTGTGCGTCTATGTGATGGATAATGAGTCTGCACAATGAGGGCTCATATTAACCCTCTAGGGTGTGTGACATCATCGTTTCCAAACAGGTTGGTCGATCTGTAAAAAAAAAAGCCTTGTCATAATAATACACACACACACACACACACACGCAGTGAAAATTTTAACTGAGCCACTGAGAGAAAGATTATGTCAGGGTTTCTTTTTGATAGAGACCTTTCCCAATACCTGTTTTTTAAAAATATCTCTTAGTTTAGATTTTTATGATTACAACACAATAGGGAAATATATAATTTCCAGGGCGGTTTTAAAAAAATATTTTTGGATTAAGTCCAAAGCATGTCTCAAGTCAAAAAGCAAATATTTCCAGTCTATCAATGGTTAACATGCTAACAATAGCACAATAGCCAAAAAAAAGGGAAACAGTGCATTAAATGTCCAGTTGCCTGTAATGAACCAAAGCATCTATATGTGAGTAAAATGCACAACAGTGTGGCATTATCTGTCACACTCAAGGCATGGCTCTATAGATCGGTCGGTAAGTCTACCGGAGTGGAGAATCTCAACAACTATTGGATAAATTCAGATTCCATTTTGTACAGCCATTCATGATCCCCAGAGGATGAACCTTGGTGACTTTGGTGATCGTCTGACTTTCCCTCACCACCAGCTGGTCAGAAATGATCACTTATCCTTAAATATCTCAACATCTCTTGATAGAGATGAATTGGCATAAAGGTTTGTACTTACATTCATGGTTCTGGCGGGGGGGTTGTGTCATAGTGCCACCGCAGAGGGGCATAGGTGTTGAGCAGACCTAAAGTTGCATGAGTGTAATTCATGAGGTGGCATAAACAAAGTTTATACCTGCCAGTACAGCCTCGCAGAGCTGCTAGAGTGGCTTTAGTCATAGTCTTGTTAAACATCTGTTGATCTGAGGTCAAGTCTCACTAGCTTTTTCTCTAAAGTCTAGTTGAATATTTAGGCAGACAAGTCCAAGTTTCAAGTTTCAAGCCTCCAGCTCTGATAATTTCATACTTGAAATGACTTGAATGTCTTCGTCTATTCTCTGAGCTAATCTTTTCTCTCACTTCCTCTCATCTCCTCTCCTCCTGACCTTCTCTGTCCTCCCCTCTGTCTAACCTCTCCTCCACTTCTCTCACTTTATCTCCTCTAATTTCCTGAGGTATTGGGGGTATCGTCTCACCACAGAGTCTGATGTTGTACTGTCTCTCCCTTCACTGAGGAGCTGATCTCTCCCTTTATACTCTGAGACTTGAATAATGTCCCTGTTAGTCTGCGGCATCTCTCTCTCTCTCTCTCCTCCCTTCTGCAAACTACATATCCAGCCATGAAAGTTGGACGAATGGATGGAAAGAGGAGAAAAGGAAAAAGATCAATGAGAGGAAGATCAATAGGAAAGCCCTTGATACTTCCCTCATTCCTCCCATTGGATCTCAGACGCTCACAGAAAGCTGTCCCTCTCTTGCTCTCTCTGATGGACAGTGAGTTTATGCCACAGATGGATACTTTGATTCCTTACACATTTCATTTAAACAATTTGCTAGGTTAACCATCGTGAATGTAGTTTGAATGTGTCTTCCGGTGCAAGGATATTTAGGGGAGGCATAGTTTTGCTGCTGTGTATGTACTTGTTTTGTTGTCTAATGTGACATCTGGTGGTGCCTTTACGGTAATGCAGGCATCTCTACAATCTGATGTGCACGTTTCCCGCTCAAAGTGACCTAGTTGCACTGTGGAGTGCTGGCTGCTTCTTTTATGTGCGGGAGAAAAATTACAAATATGTCCCAGATGAATGCAGACATCTTATTTTGAAAGCCGGGTAAACAGAATATCTGTTTTTCTTGTTATTTTCAACTCTCCTTCTCTTTACTTAGCCTAGTACTTATAAACTGTTGGGTGTGTAAAGTAATGCAAAAAACTTACTATGCATGGGGAATCTACAAATGTCTAAAATGTTAAGTGGTTTTCTTTTCTGTTATCATTCCACAAACAACAGGGTCAGACATGCAGCTGATTTTAGTATAATGTGTCACAGCGAACATCTCCTCATCTGCGCTACTAATCCTAAATATATTCTTGACATATAAAAAAGTGGTTAAAGCCTGGCTGTAAATCATCCACAAAACTTCACAAAGCTCGTGCAGAAGGCGGGATGCTGCACCACGCCCACACGTGGCGGTCATTGGTGTGCTTTCACGTACTGCGCCGCAACTGCGCAGCACCGCTGATCTTAAAGACTGCACCTTCTGCTGTAACCAGCGCAGCATTGAACAACATGATGTGAAGATCTGTTTTCTTAAACTGCTTGCACCCAAGCACAGTAGCCTATTTGTTAAAGGAAACAATACATCCACATTTACACTGCAGAACGACAGACTCGCTGTTTTCTTTTCAGATTTTTGGAAACTATGATCGCCTTTTTTTGTCACATCCAGATGTTTTGTTTTGCTGAAGAGGAGATGCTGCGGGACTAAGTGATGTTAAGAAGTAGTTCAGCTGCGAGGGCTCCGATATCCATTATTGCCTCAATTACCACCTAGCGCTTTAACGAGACACTGATTGCCAATGATAGGATCGTATCGCCTTTCAGGTGCTCTTAACGCGCAGGTGCTGAGCTAACAGAAAGTATAACGGGGTTTGCTTACAGAGGGAGGATGGTGGCGAAGATGGCGAGCTGCGGAACCTCTTGTCACTTGGAGGACGGGTAAGACTTTTTGTTGTTACCACGAAAAAAACAGATGAGTTTTGGCCTCTGGCTTTATATGAGTGTTTGTGTTTCATCGTGTGCAGTTTAGACAACGTAATGCATGCAGTGGAAGCAGCGCTAAAATCGCTCAGCGTCAACATAGGAAGTGCTGTCTTTTGTTGCTGTCGGGCAGTCGGGCTCTTGTGGTTGTGCTTTTTAAGTAAAATAAACAAATATACCATGAACTATACAATGCTTCCTTGTTATAAATTCGTATAACTGAATGTAGAAACAAAGAGGAAGAGGAGATCTCTGTTGGTGCCTCTCAGCGCTGCATGCTGCTGTGTTATTACAATGTGATGATTCACTGACAAGAAGAGACTACAGTGGGCGAGTAGCGTGTTTGATACCGTGAGATTACGATCTAAATATAGGTTAATAAACAGAAACAACTTTATAGGAGACTACTACAAAAGCAAAAAAAAATGCTACAGGAGAGAAAAACAACCAAATGTGATAATGTAACCTTATCTTACAGTAGACCACAAACAAGCACTTAAATGTAACTTGCTACTTACATTTTTATGATAATGCTCTGAAACACGTGCCATGTTACACACAAACACACACAGATGTTTTTTCTTACCAACACATAGTCTAATTTAAAAAAGTTTTTTTATTTAAAAACTGAGCATAATCCTCATCTGATTCTCGCCAATCTATGTAATAAATACAATATGTTTTAAAAGTTGTATTGTGAACCACAGACAGGTGAGGTGATACTGATGACTCATTGTCCTCTGTTAATGCTACTAAGTTGTCTCCTTGTCATCATTCACCCATAATAAGGACAAGGAAAGTCCCTGAACGAACAATACCACATAGGGTTTTACAAACATTGTACTACAACATATTAAAATGTTCAGTGAAATTACAATTAAATGTTCGCGAGGAACATGTAAATGGTTTAATTTAAAGGAAACTATATATAAGAAGGACGTTTATTTTTATGTTTATGACCCCACTATAAACATCATAGGGAAAGTAGTGAGGTTTAATATTAATGACTGAAGGTAGCAAAGGCCAACAGTTTTTTTTTTTTTGTACTTGTGTGCAGTAGATGCGGACCAGCTGACAGTTGTTTATCTACACCCAGATGTTTTCTCTCTTCAGTATGTTTATGGGAAGTTGTAGGAAGCATGAAGACCTAAATGTTATGGCCGTTATCTTTCAGCCAGACACAGACCAACACCCTAACAGAGGATTTTGTTATCTTATTTTGGATTAGGGAGGTAGAACGTCTGAGAACTCATGCAGGGAGTTTAATCATTGTCTGAAAACATTTGGCCGATGAAAAAGCAACCTTTTTTGTCAGAGGAAGAGAGGATTACCATGGCAACATATGAGCCTCAGTGTTGTTGTGGTGTGACTATTTGGCAGAGCCGCAAACGAGTTGACCTTGAACAGAAGAAAACAGTGTTTCCTGGACAGATGTTTGAAAACAAAGGAAACTACAGTGCCTTATCAGGATTAACAGACGCCAAATGAAAGACTACAAATTGGTCAGGCTTAATAATCCTAATTTCCTGATGCATCATTTTGCTTTTGATCACCCAGTTTGGCGTTTTTAGGAAAAGACGCCAGACGGGATATGACCTACTTTACTTCTGCTGGTGGTGAACTCGTTCTTCTTGTGGAGTTGGCTCTCTGTCTGTTCTCCCTGATGGATTTCAGGCGTGTTGCCTCTTGTTAAAGCTCTGTCTGCGCCAACAGGTTGCTCCAGTCCTCTGCTCAGATACAAGATTTGAACTATTGCACTTAGATCATTGTTTGTTTGATATACTACATTCCTGGATAGTCAGGCACAAATCACATATCAGAGGTAAATAGTCAGGAGGAACTGGTGTTGACGTCTGCCGTGCAGGGCTGGGCGTTATGGTTGAAGTTAATGTCACGTTAATAATATATATCACAATATAGCAGATGTGTCCAAAATCACAAGCAAAATAATCAAAATTATAATCAATGCAATGAAGTTATGCTTTATATGCTTTCATGTGTGCAAAACAAAGCTTTCAATTACTCATTTTTAATTACAGTGTGCTTAGAATCAGTCAATTAGACAGCAGAATTTTGCAGCTGACCATATGAACACCATATGATGTTGTCATCACAATATAATAGCACTAAAATTAAATAAATTATTATATCGAATATGAATCGTCCAGCCCCACTGCTGTGTCTGAAACAGAAAGCAGTGTCCACATGAATCTGACCAGCTTTATTTAATGGTAAAAGTACTCGGCTAGTATCTTTCCACAGCTGGTTTCCTGTGCTATCAACACTGCCCTGAAAGTGGGTCAGAGTGGGAGTTTGGGTGGGAAGGTGAATCTATCATTCGACAGGATGGGTTGATGTGAGAAGTGTGAGAAAGTGAGATGCAGGCCGCTTGTACACGCTTCCTGTTTTTCTAATTCATGCAACGGGTGTTCGTGTTCAAAAAGCAGAAGTGGTTTGAAGAGCCTGCAGCTGCACACTTTTAATTTAAAGTTGTCTGAATGTTATCTCCTCTGCCCTACAGAGACGGAGATATCCCTGCGCCTGAACACAAAGGTAAACATTAACCCATTTTCAACACCCTCCCTCCGTGTCTGTCCTCTGGCTCTTTTTAATATTTAAAAGGCTTAAATCCTATTATTTTGTCACTACTTTTGTTTTCCTTCCTTCCTTTGGCCTCACTGATCTCCATATCATTTTCCTTTAAAGGGCAGCAAGATTTATGCAGAGTCATACACTCACTTGTATCCCCAGTTTTGCATTTGCTATTTTTGCTAACTGCACCACCAGGTAGCTGCAAATTGAGCTTGCTGTATGTGGCAAGTCATGAACATGCTTTATTTTGTTTGTCTAGATCGGACTGTAGGGACAGAGCACAATGAGTCATCAGTTTCACCTTACCAGTGTTTTTTTAGGAAGAGACGCAGGGCGGGATATGACCTAGCCTACCTTTTCACGCCTGCTGATGGTGAACTTGTTTTTGGCCTATCCTGTCAATGGAGGGTCTAGATTAAATTTCACAGATTTTAAGTAGACCGTTTCTGAGTTGGTGATATCTCCAGAAATAATCTTTGTGCAGATTAAACTGACCCTTAGAGATCTCAAATTAACACAAAATTCTACTTATTAGATAGCAAAAAAAGCACTCTGTAGTTGACCTGGTAATAATAGATACACACGTACATACAACTGGTGATGATCTGAATTTTTCTCTCCTCATGCTGATGTAATAGGCTCAATACTGCCAAAGTTGGTGGCCTGCCATGTCTTAATGAATATAACAGGTAGCAGAAACACTGATTTTAATGACAATGACCAAGACACTGAATTTAGCAGACTTTGCTTCTTTTTCAGGAGTCATAAGCCAAAAAGGTTAAGAAACCACTGCTGTGCACCACACATCAACCCTTTCATGCCCTTGGTTTTGATATTTTTTTAGACCAGCAGATGGCAGGCAACACCCATTAAACTATCCAAACCTTTGTGGCTGTAGACAAGTGTGTGTGTGGATGTGGGTGTTTGCTCTCCACCTTGTTTGTCAGTCTGATGAAGGGAAGCGCCCATGCCAGAGTGAAGAGGGATGCCTGCTGGCCCACATGAGGCAGCAGAGAAAGAGATTGGCCATGGGAGGCATATGAGGACAAGGAGAGAGAAATGGAGGAGAGAGAGTGCAGAGGGAGGTGAAGCAGACAGATCGAGCAGAGTGGAGGAGAGAGATTGATGAGGGAGGTGCTGCGAGTGGAGCAGCGATGGCAGCATCTGCTTGTTAGTCTAAGATAAAACTCTGCGGGCCAGAGAGGATGGGCTCCATCCATTAGCCGGCCAGGCACCCAGCCAGATGGCTAGGCCCACGGACATTCACCGCTGCTGGGAAGAGAGGAGAAGCAGCTTCTCTGGACCCTTCTGTATAATGCGCCAGAATGTTAATGCATGGCACTCATCACAGGCGTCTTCACAGGGAGCCACAGTTCAGCTGCTAAGGAATGATGGATATGTAAAACCTGGTGGTGTATGTCAGACATGCTGAGATTTTTTGATGACTAATATGGATGAAGATGTTTTTGTTTTTTTTAAACACACACACAAACATAGAGGTACTCTAAAAGTAGAGGTCTCCACTGGGGCTGCACCTGTTAAAGAAATAGCCCCAGTGACAAAAAATAAAATTTGGTACTTTTACTCTTTTTTTCCTGACATTTCAATAGACAAGTCCATCTATTATTACTTTCCTTATGTAAGGAAATTCTTAAACAGTCTGTGTGTGGAGATGACGTGGCTGAACCTGAGGTTTTCTCTGATTTATGTTGCACGAGAAAGACAAATATGCTTTCCCCCTTATAAAACAAAACATTGGTTTGTTGAAAAGGACTGATGATAGCTACAAGCTTTACATATTATAGGGTGCTGTATGCTTGTTTTTGCTGTAGAATTATGGTTCCTTCTAAGGATAAATTAACACAAGACACTCTAGCTTTACTCTTCCTGAAGACTCTAACTGTTCATACATTAACTGTTGGGCAGTGAGTTGATGATGTGATCAAACCTTTAAAAGTGGTGAGTTTCCAAAAAGATGACGATGATATAGTTAACAAAAAATACTAATGACTAATTATTTGGAAATGTACAAGGACTTTTTTTCACATTTTGACATTATTGCATCAGTTTTTACTGACCAAACCGCACTGACCTCAAAACAATTGCTAATTTGTTACAGATAATCTGACAGAAAGTGACAACAGTAGTTCAGGTAAGCACATATATCACACCGGACATTTGTTCTTTCCACATAACTATTACAAAATCTTCATCTTCTTCAAAACTTTGCCATCTGCAGAAAATCTAATTTGTTCTGAAGATTAATTCCTTATTTTATTTCCAAAGTCATGTTACCTTCATGGCATGAATCCCTTTTACGCATCGTTCATTGGAAATTTGGTCTCTCACATGTCCATGTTGCATATTGTTTTATCAAACAGAGAACACAGGAACGTCCACTGAGGACAGCTCAGAGGGAGAGGAGGAAGATGAAGAGGAGGATGAGGATTCTGGTGAGAGATACACTTTGAATTGCTCCATTACAGCGCACATCTTAAAGGAATAGTTTAATTTGCTTATTCGGTTTCTTGCCGTCATATCTGTACATTAAAAATGAAGCTACTGCCGGGAGATGGTTAGTTTAGCTTAGCCTGGCTCTGTCCAGGGGTAGAAAAAATCTGCCTACCAACACATCTAAATCTCACTAAGTAACATGTTATATCTCGTAGAAGTGTAGTTTCCAAAATGTTGAACTACTGTGTTCTATTCATTTCTCTCTTTCTCACCCTACCCTACGTCGTGTTCTGACATTCTGACCAGAAGGCTGCGCTGAGAAGGATGGTGGAGAGGGAGGTAAGAACCAACATCCTATTATCAACCCTAGAAAATTATTTTTTAAGAACGTTTTAACTGAGTTAATCTCCTTTGTGTTCTTTGCAGACAACAAAGAGGCCGATGCAGAGGACAAACACGGTGCGATGCGTCAACATTGTGTCTACAAAATATCAGTACCTGTATTGTCAGACTATGCAACTTTTTATAACAGTCTTGTTAGTTGTTTACATCCAGACCGCCATGTCAGCTTGTTGTCGTAGTTGACATGACTTTAGTGGTAACTTAGTGGACGTTGGCTACAGCCTTATCTTAATGGCAACCCTGTTTCATAATTATAGCACAAAATGTCAGAACACAGAATTTGATTTGACATGTAATTGAGCCTATAATTGGACTTGTTTTATCCTCTAGAGTCAGACCCTGGGCCTGAAGCAGGGGTTTCAAATGGGAAAGGTAAGCAGATACATAACCAATGTAACACAACTAATCTTCTGGAGATAGCTTGTCTTCTAAATAACATCCCGTTTTTTGTCACACATTCTGACAGACGAGAGACACTTTAACATATGCTGTGACAAATGCAAAGCCATCCAGCAGGTGAGCTCTGAAACCAGATGTTTGTCTGGTAAAATGTGGTGATTTTAAATGTCTTGTCTGCCTGATGTTTTTAATTATACCTGATTTATATTTGACATTCCTCTGATATTGGACAGGACCTTGTAAAAGCCTTTCCTCCTTTGCGCATATCTATATATAGTATTTTAAAAATGTTTTAGCTCTTATGTTGTCTATGAAGATTCTCAGTCATCCAGGTCATAGTTATCCAACGAAGGTTAAAATCAAGGGCAACTGGACTTGGTTGAAGATACTGGAAGACGTTTCGTCTCAGTTCTCTGAACTGAAGAAGTCCTTTGGATGAGGGACGAAACGTCTTCCAGTATCTTCAACCAAGTCCAGTTGCCCTTGATTTTAACCTTCGTTGGATAGCTCTGATGTTATAATTGTCCAAACACATACCAACTGTGTTGGTTTGTCTGACAGAACCGTGGCTATGAGCTTGTTACGCCCAGGAGGATCACTAAGGGACGATTACAGTGAGTACCACTCTGATCTGCTCTGCACACATTTACATTGATTCTGTATGTACAGCATCACTGACTCTGTTTGTGTTTTAGGGTGCAGCTGGAAGGAGAGGGCACGTATGAGTGTTCGGTCACCGGCCTGGTGTTTGAAGCAGCGGAGCGGGTGCTTGTGCGGTACTCCGTCCTGTCCTGGTCCAAGTTCGGCGCCTTCCTCCGGGACTCCTGGAAATTTGCTGGACCCATCTTTAACGTGGACACAATCAATAAGGATGCGTCTGTCCTCAAGTCCATCCAGTTCCCTCACTCTGTCTGCCTTGCCGGTAAGAATGGATATCAGTGTGGTCTCAGTCTTATGTTATGAACATCCAATATTTCTGACAAAGATGTCACCTGGAGGTTGTTTTGAATGTAGCTTATGTCTGTGAGGTACAATTCTTTATTATTAAAATTACGACCCATTTGAAGGCCTTTACAGAAAATAGTTAATTTTAGTGAATATCATAATCTTTTATATATCATTTAAAGACGCTCTAGGTGAAAGATAAGACCTTCTTGTTCTTTTTTATCCTGACACAGATCCAGAAAATGAGATGATATTCAGCGTCCTGCACATAAAGGACAACCGTCCACTCATCGAGCCGACAATGGACCACTCAGGTAGCCATGTGAAGTGGAATGTCACATCACTGTCACCCGTGGGTCCCATCATTCAGACGAGCCAATCTGTAGAGCACCACGGGGTGGTCCTGGTCTACAAGCAGCTGGGCGGTGACAGCAACAACAATTACAGCTTCCACGTCTACCTGGCCACCAACAGTTCATCTGACATTAAGGTGAGTGTTGGTTAATAATGCGAGCGTCTTATTGTTACAAAGTCATCCCAGACATGGAAATTGATTAATTTCTTTAAAACAAAATGTAGGCTCAAGCAGGCTCTAAAACAAACGATTGATAGTCTTCCTACTCTTTACTAATGCAACACTGTCCGGGCAGTCTTTGCTCTGTCACAGTCTAATTTCTCCAAAACGTCATGTTGTTGCAGGATCCTATTTCATTTTGCCGCACTCAGTTCTTGGAAACCACATTCAAGTAGAGCCTTTAATTTGTCAGTGTTGTGACTGAAAAAAGAACCTTAATAATAATAATAACTCAGGAACCAGTAATATTTCAGTACCTGTACGGTGATGAAATTCTGCAATTATGTTAGTGGATACACATGTTATGTCTGAATACATACACCCATGTTTATTAGATGCACTTCTAATGCCCAGCTTCTTAAGACACCAATACATTTCACATTTAATTACCATTTCGTATGCATAAAACCGATAACAATTCACTTTTAAAATAATGTGAGTCAGCCAAAGTGTCAACCTTCTCGTGACTTTTCACTTCAAAGCACATTTTGTGTTTTAATTGAGGAATTTTTCTCTTGACGTGCCACGAAAGACAAACAAAAAAATACTTCCTTACATGCACGGCACAAAGAAATATTCCATTCATGAGATCATCACCTGAGCCTCTCTAAATTTTCACAACCTTTCTATCATGCCAACTAACGTACTTGATAAAACTCCAGCAAAATGCCTATGATACCTATGAAATTGTGTCTGAAAAGTAAGAACAGTATTAGAGGCAAAATGTAACTTTCACTTCATTTTTGGTAATTTCACCGGCGTTGATGGTGTAATACTTTATAGAACAGTCACCAGATTTCCAGGTTTGTGTAATACACCGAAGTGAAAATCTAGCAGAGAGTTGTTGTCATGAAATTATTCAGTATATTACAGTGCAAAAACTCTATGATATACTACATTATATCATATTGTCTATACGCATAAATGTGAGCATCTGTTTAAGTGATCATTGACTCTCTGGTGTTATTGACCTTATCAAACACTATGATATATATTATATGTTATTTTGTGCTTTTGTTTAGACTAGCCTTTATGGTCAAGTGAGAAATGTCAGTAGTATGTGTCAAAATGGTACTGATGCAACTGGTGTGTGTATTACTGTAAGCGCACCACATAATTATGACAGCTGCATGACAATAATGCTGAGTCATTTTTTAACACTGCGCTGCTGAGGTCACGCAGGAAGTGTGCTTGTGGTTGCGTGAGCATGTGTGTTGGAGAGGATGCAGCAAGTGAATAATCATACTTTATTTATTTTAACCTGGAAAATTGTAGTAATTTGTGTTTTCCCTTCTGATGATTTTTTCCATCACTGTGTATTATGCTAGCCTGTCCAGCAGTCACTGACCGGGGCTGAACTCTGAGTGGTTTGTTCTTCAGACACGCCTTCAGTTTTTCCACTTCAACTATGGAAAATGTGTTTTTTGAATGTTAATCACCTTTCAGCCTGCTAATCATCGATCTGCAAGAAACTGACTTATCTTCTGCCTCGTCTTGTCTTCCTGCTGTCCTTATGTGAACCAGGATGTAAACAAACAGGTGCGGGGCTACAAGAATCGTTACATTCAGATAGACAAGCCTCCCACATGTAAACTGGATGAGGGGACGTATCGTCTCATGAGCGAGCCAGAGGGAGACATCAAACCTCAGGTGTCTCTCTTTGCATGTGCATGTGTGTCTGCACACATGTTATCTTTTATATTGCAACTTATGTGTTGAAAACTACAGTATTGTGACTGTCAAGTGCTACACCATTATCATTGTCATCATCATCCTCATTAAGTTTGCATTTGTTATGCATTGACTACACAGTTACAGCATTTTTTATTATGTGTATGTGTCTCTGTGCAGGATTTGAAATTCACCCTTGCTGTGACTAAGATGAAGGGCTACTTTGAAGCTTTCTTTGAGCAGCCTCCTCCCTTTAAACTGTGTCTCATAGAGATTAACACTGAGGAGACTGTGTGGTCCGCAACCATCAGAGAAGGTACCAGTGCATTTAGTCACATTTGATGATTTACAGGTGAAAATCATCTAGGTGTTGTGGCTAAAATCAGGCTATGTTTGTTTGAATAGTCAAAGGTTTTGCAAACATTTTTCAAATGAACCAAAACATGTTCACATGGTGTTTTAAATGTTTCTTTGTTCGAATGTGGTTTCTACTCCAGAGTGATGACAATCTGTTTTTTCTCTACTCTTAGGTGACTGTGTGGATAACACAGAAAAAAAGGCAAGGAAAAGGACAAACAGTAAGCTGCTTGTTTTTCTTTCTTTTAATCAGATCTGTCCATCACAACATGATTTCAGCTTCTACAGGTTATATCTGGTTATATCTCTCCTAGGCAGACAGAGGAGCAGCAGCCCCTCAGAAGAAGAAACTGCCTGTAAAAGACCTCGATGGCAGGACGAGTCAGGTGACTTTCCACGTCTTTTACTAACTAGTAATTTGAGAGGAACTTGAAGCACATCTTTGTTTAGGCCCAATCAAGTTACCAAAACCTACTTCCAAATGCACCTCTCTGTCTAAAATTATACTGAAATAAAGTACCAGTGTGTGTTGTGTGTCTTTTCCAGATGGAGTCAAAAGAGTGATGACTCTGGGCCAGGACATGTCTGAGAAGCAGCTACTGCAGGTGGCCAAGCGGCTCGGGAAGGAGTGGAAGCAGGTGGCCATCTATCTAGACCTGAACTCCAGGGAAGTGGACGATATCCAGGCAGCAGAGAAAGATGTGACCATGCAGAAACTGAAGATGCTGGTGGAGTGGAAGAGCAGAAGGAGGCCAGGAGAGGCCACGGCGCACCACCTGTGGAAAAGTGTGGAGGAACTGGATGACTTGCCAAATGAGGTCCATCAGACACTGCACGGTAATAAACTACAGACAAACATATGAACCATCTAATAAATATAATAAAAAAACACCAGAGCTAATATGATCATGAGTCAATTCATTTCATCAATTGACCATCATTTTGATAATTTATAAACCATTCCAGCAATAAAAAAACTATCAAGACCAAGAGTCTATAGCCATGCTAGCAGCACTGTGAGACTATATTTAGACATAGTGGTGATTTAAGGTAAACGCTAATGTTAGTATTCTGAAAGACTCACAGTGACAATGATAACATGCTGTTTAGCAGATGTTTACCATGTTATCCATGGTAGTTTAGCGTGTTTGCATGCTAACATGTGCTAATTAGAACTAAATTACAAAGTGCAGCTGAGGGTGATGGGAATGTCTTCAGTTTTGCAGGTATTTGTTCATAAACCGAAGTACTGGACAAATTGACATTTTGAACTGATGGTGGTGGCGCTAGATAAAAACTCAGAGTCCTTGCAAACCAAAGACATAATAAAAAAACATGAATGTGCAAACCAAATTTTATTACAATTCATTCAATAGTTGTTGAGACATTTCGCTAAAATTCACAAATGTCAGCCTGCTGTGGTTGTAGTGGAAAAGTCAGGGTACCACCTAAGTCAGTATGATTTATCCTCTGGGGATCATGAATTTATATAGAAAATTCTGTGTCAATCCATCTAGTAGTTCAGATATTTCGGTCTGGACCTAATCCTAGCGTATAGATGTTGGGAACAGCATTACAAATGCTGAAATGTAATTATATTCTCACTCACACAGGAAAATAAAATTAATACTTTTATTTATTTAACTAGCCCTGATCCAGAGCTGTATATTACAGCACAATCTGCTCAAATGTGTTCCTGCATGTTGGTGGATAGATGTCTTCTTAGCTACCTATAAGCTGGGAAATATGAGTTAGGTGGCTGAAATACCAATTTAAGTCAGTACAAGCCATTAAAAATCAAAAATAGTTCAGGACTGCTTCCTTGCCCACTGCCCAGAGTGCTCAGTACTGTCACTGGTGGCCATAAGATATTTAATGTATATTATACTGTTCTACGGTTTGATCAAAATAAGGATCCATAGATTCATCATGGTTCTAATGACCACACATACACAATGGACAGACAAGTTATTCTGTTTTGTTTTTTGTCATTTTTCAGAGATGATGAACAATCGAGCAGCTAAGTGAAAGGCCACCATCTGGAAGAAAACTAAATCTCAGGAATACAACAAAGTAGAGTCGATCTACGAACCAAACATCAGCTCTCAGTTTGTGTTTCTCCTTTGTACGACATACCTAGACATGAAACTGACTGATGGGCTTCTGTCCTGCGGCATTACATGAAAGGGGCCATTGTTTATCTTTCAATGGGCACTTTCCCTCATTTAGTTCAAAGTTTGTGTAGCCAGAATTTGATGCTTAGAATTATCATGTTCAACAATAACCACGAGGTAAAGAGGTGTAGAGGTGTAGAGGTTGTTGAGAATATTTAGTAGCTAATCGTGTAGCCAGTAACACATGTAAATGTAGGTGCTGCAGTGTTGAAACTGCAAAAAATGGGAAAAATCCAACCTGTGTCTTGTTTCACTTTTAAATGTTATGTTTGTGGGACTTTTTAAAAAACAAGTAGGCATTACATCACATGCACATGCTTGTGACTGTCCAAAAACATCTTGGATGTTTTTTCAATTACGTTTTTATATCTGCAGATTTGTGCATATTTGTAAATCTCTTTTTTTTACCAACTTTTTCAAACCTGTGATCTATTTTTCTACTTTGTCTGTTTATGCCTATTTGTGCTGAACCTGTAGAACTAAACTGAGTCATCTAATTATGTTTATTTTGTTTAACTTGAATTATGAACCCATTCCTGCTCTCACGTGACTAGAATGCTCATTTTGAGTTTTGTTAAAGTGTAAATGTTGTTTGTTTGTGTGTATTACAAAAGTGTACACTGTTGGGGAAAAAAAACAAATCCTAAGCATTTGGATTCAGGGCTTCATTTAAGTAGTCTACCTGCATGAGTGCAGCTACAGCCTAGCAACATTCATATATTTTTTTAAGGCGTATTTCATATCTGTAGAGGTTAGAACAGTTAACGAAAACAAAATATACTGTAAGATGCCTCTGGACATATTTTAAATGTTCTCAACATCCATGCATTAGTGACAGATTTGTTTCTCTTTTACCCGTTGCCAAATGACACTGTTTCTAGATAACACTATTTGGGAAAAGCTGTAGAAATGGCATCTGAAATGTCGAATGTTTTAGGGTTGTCCATGCTGATATTATGCAGTAATACCACCAACAATCCAGTCCGTCCTTTTTGCACTTGGTTTCTATCCTATCTGAGTCCCTCCGAAGAACTGTGGAATAAATGTTGACTGAATTACAAAAGAAGGTCTCCCGGTTGTTTCTTTCTTACTTCTTTCTTCAGTAGTGTTATCTGTAATTACTGGTAAGTATCATCAGTTCTATTTTAATTCCAGTCAAAAATGACTTCCACTTCAACACTTGATACCAAAACATATTTATATTTATTTATTTTATATTTATATTTATTATAAATAACATCATGGGCCATCAAATAAATAAATAAATAGATGTAATAAATATATCACAAATAAATAGATAAATAAATAGATACATTCCCCCAAATATTGGAATACATTCATATATTTAAATGGGCCAAAATGGCCCCACTGCTAACCTTAGTAATAGTTTGACTGTCATTCAGCTCTCACTGTATGAAGAGTCTGGAGTCTGGCCATCTAGCTTATGCCTGAGCAGTAATCATGCAGTGTAAAGCACTACTTGGTCAGTAGTTGTAAATGATAGTAGTGAATGATCGAGAAGGCTTGTTTAGTTGGGATGAAATAAAGGAGAAAAGATATTGTGGTATTATGATGGTGGTGATGATGATGATGAGGTTGCTGGATGTTTACTTCCTGTGGTCTCCTGAGGAGATATAGCCCATAGCTCGGTTGATGGTGATGGTTCGAACATGGAAGCCCCTCATCATCTTACACATCTCCTGCCTGTTGCTGAAGGTGTCATTTCCCCACATCTGGGCAGCTTCCTCCTAAAAGGCAATGCAAAAAGAAAACACCATGAATGCACAATAATCACCTTCCAGTTTCACACATAATCACAAAAAACCCCATCCTAACTTCCCTGCATGTTTTTTTCAAGGATAGATTTTATCTCAGTTTTCCTCTTAAAGACAGAACGATGAGGAGTAAATAGGGAACAAACAAAAAAGAAGGAATAGAAAAATACCTCTGCAGAGTCGTTCTCTCCATTCGGCATCAGGGAGCAGTTCTGTATAAAGCAAAGAAAATTTCGTCAGGCGACTTTCAAACGTTATTTCCCAGGAGATTCTCTCTCACTACTTAAAATCATGACTCTGTTTCACTCTATGTATTTTATTTTTACCCCTCCCACACATGCAAAATAAACACACCATCCTCAGGCTCTGTATTATTCCCAGAGTTTGGTCCAGAAGTGGAACTTCTTTCTCAGGACTTATGAGTGTGGAGCTGCGGTAAGACTGAATAACAGCGGTGTAGTGGGTCAAGTCCTTCATGATGTTCCTCAGACATTCACTCTGTCAAGACAAACAAGAAAAATTACCCATCAATTGTCTGTCTGTATTATAAAAAATTTGAAAATTTGAACAAGTGATTGGGGGTAGCCTATAATGTCATAATTATGATGTGTAGAGTGGACAACCAAACACAAATGTAAAGCTTTATTCAAGTAAAATAGATACTGGATTTATAATTTATAATTATATATATATATCAATTTGGCATCATGGAGCATTAAAAAAATAAAGCATACCTCACTAAAGGATGAATTCCTTTGCATCATGCATCCTGTGTTCTGTGGGATAAAAGACATTTTAAACATGAGCCATTTATTGATGAACTAATTTCACCAGATGCCCATAAACATCTTTGGACCATTATAGGTGTCCAAGTAAATGTTGGTGAAAGCTGAGCTGAAATAGTGAGGCTTGAAGCTGTTTCCATTAATTAAGTACAAAAACAACTGAATCCTCATTTCTTTTTTGAAAAATTAAAAATATGCCTCAAAGAATCATTAGGATTTATAGCCTTACAAGAAAAGTAAAGATAATTCAATCATGAGCTGGTCTTTAAATAATAACTCCAAATTCATAATTGATCTCACTGTTAAATCAACAAGTTTCACCTGATTCAGAGTGGGTGCGCAGGCCAGTACTGTCTCTGATTTGCTCCTCACCACCACTGTATCAGAGGTGATGCCATAACACAAAACATCCTGTAAGACAAGATAATGCTATTCATTGTTAACAAACTACAGAGGTGTGTGGCAGAGTAAAACAAAGAAATAATACAGTATTACAACATAAAAATGCTACAATAAATTGTACTCACACCGACGAGAAGCCCCGTGAGATTCCGCAGGAGGTCCTTGAAGAGCGATGGACAGTCTCCACACTTTTCTGCGCTCGGAGTGCGCACCGGGAGTCCCGTGGATGTGCGCCAGCTCAGAGTCAGCAGAAGCACACAGCTGGCGAAGTCTGCATGACAAGAGAATAACAACCATAAACACATGCGTCTTATGGGTCTATACAATCCTACTGGTGCTCAACTTGCATGACTAAACACAGTAGAACCATATGGGAAAAAATAGTAGCCAATCTTAGATCTCATTCTGTGTTTCAGGCTTGCTGACTTACAGAAATTATAGATAGCCATCTTTCTGATCTGATTGATATCGTTGGTCGAGCCTGGTAAATCAACACTGTGTTGCTGCCTTCTTATCTGATGGATTTATATGTATTCATAGGGGATTCCCTCGGCCTGCCTGCAGGAGGGCCAGCAAATGAAAGCTAACGTAACATTGAAATTTCCTCATCGGTGTTCCAGCACACACAGTGAAAACGAGAAGTCGCAATGTTTGTATCATGAAAGCAACTACTGGTGGGAAAAAGTCAACTCAAAGTGTAATGCAACTGTGATTTAGATACAATAGCCAACTTAAGGTTTTGCATGCGCGTAGGCCTACTTATTTGATTTGCCTAAAATAAATAGCCTATGATTAGATGAGTAGGCCTACAGAAGATAAATAATAGATGAGTATATCATATAAAATAATTGTTTTTAGTTAGCTCTTATGCAGATTTGCAAGGAAGCGGCTGCAAACCGCACCAACATAAATGATAAGTAGCTGTATGATGATAAGAATGTGGTCCAGTCCGCAGCAGCAGTAGCACATGGGAAGTGGCAGCGTTTTATAAACAGTGGCATTAACCACAGGCTACCACAACATATGGGATCTATACCTTCTGTCAGTACAGCATCTGAAAAACACACCGAATAAAAACAATAGACAGGAATCTTATCGAAAGAGATTCCACCTCAGAAATGTGTGCAAATACTTTTTAACAAATACACATGTTGACGGACTACCTCTGCCCCGCATCTGTCTGACCCACCAGGTCATGCCCAGTCAATGTCACTGCGGAGGAGGGTTCGTTTGGGTTTTCCCTCTGCCCAGCACGGGTGGGCGGTGGATTTATCACTGCTCTGTTCTCACGTAAAGATACCAAGATCACGCAAACGAGCAATCCCAAAATGTTCTAAAATATATCTCTGTCCTCAAGCACTGTGATTAAGTAGGCCTACTATTTTCAGGTTGCTTCTGTTTTATACTACTTTATTCTTCTACTGCACCACATTTCAGAGGAATATACTATAATATTTCTACTCCACAATTGCTTTGCTGATTAAGATTCTGCATACAAAACATATGATCAGTTTATAAAATATGATCGATTAAACAACGACAGTAGTTATAATTAGCTCCATCTTAACAAGCAACTATTAAAATACTGTTTAATGCATCAGTAATAATACAGCACTCTGAAAGGAGCCATTCTGCATCATGAGCACCTTTTTTATTTGCAGAATTCTGCTTAGGCTATAATATTTCTGACACTTTACTTAAGTAATATTTTGAATGTTTGTCTTTTACTTAAAAGGCCAGTTTTTTTGTGAAGGATCTGAACACTTTTTTCCACCACTTACGTACTTATCCATGTAAACACAACACAAATGCTATTTTAAATTGATATTGAAAGCTAATTTTTTCATCTTATATAGACTACAATGATCTATTTGTAGGCTATATGTTGTGTGGGGATCTCAAAGTTCTTTGTTAAATTTATGTGGAGAATATCTACTGTAGGTTTTGGTATAATATATAAAATTTAATTAAATGCTTGTTTGTTATAATTTAAACATATTTTGGGTTAAATATATGAAACGGGAGTATATAATAAGGTTGAGAATTAACTTTCAATATTAACTGTTAAGCCAACGTGGACAAAGGTCCTCAGAAAAATGTATATTGAACCATCTACATTTCCATGACAACTGGGCAAATTCATTTGCTGTGATATGATTTAAAGCCCCAGAACAGCTACTAATGGGCCTTATGGTGAGATTATTTTGCCATTTTCTGTTTCCAAGGTCAGGAATGATCTTTAAATGTAAAGTATTTTTCAGATGTTAGGCTATATTATAGCAAAAGTTTGGTAATCAGTATTTGAGACGTGTTCAAGTCTCAAAATAATATGAAATTCATCAGTACATACAGCATGACTACATCCTGTCCTTTCACCCTTTAGTCCCTGTTTTTTTTAAACACATGTTTTTGTAAGGAAGTGCACTCTCTGAAATGACAGTGGTCAGTAAGTGGTTGACAGGAGTTTCCTGGCCTTTCTCTGGCTTCACTGCAGCATATGAAAGTGTGAAACTTACCATCACTCTTTGAAGACAGTATACGATCAGACAGATGACCCACCAGGGTGGTGGTAGGGGGGACTTCCTCAGTGAAACATGTATATTACATGAAAAATAACATTGTATTCATTACTAAATCTTCCAGTCATATAGAATACTTTCTGAACATGTATACCATGAACCACAAGTGACCATTCATAATATTTTTGAGAGTCCACAAGCTTTTTCACTTGAAAGAAAAATTCCTAATTGCAACTTTAAAGGGGTTGTCCAAATTAATATGGAGTCCCTTTAGAAGTAGTACACTAACCCCCAGTGAGAGAGTGATGATGAGGCAAGACCGAAACAGAGTTGAGTCATACTATATTAAATGTGATGTTTTAGTCTCACTGCAGTTGTGACCAGTGATTACACTTCCTACATTCATTAGAAAGAGGAAGCTTATTTGAAAGAGCAAATACCTCCAGCTGATTTGCAGCAACATGCAGCTTTACAAATTCAACAAATAGCACAACAAACCAACATATATGAAACAAAGTTTATTCTTTATTTTACATATCTGTACATAAACATTTCTTCCCTCAATAAAGTTTCTGATTACAA